GGAGTAAGTCTCTGTGTGTTTAATTGGGAGCTGGGTGGAAGGCAAATATACTAAAAACAAAGCAAACCAAACAACAACAGCAACAATACCAATTACAGTTTAGCTTAACAGATGAGAACATCTTGGTTTGTATACTGCTGTTCTTTGCATACTCTTTGTGCTGACCAATAGCAAATTATTTATTCCTTTTGTCACAAGCCTTTTGACAGGAAGACATATAGGACCATGAGTCACTACCTGGCAGATGTTAAGACTGTGGAATGATCTATCATAGGTTTTATAATAAGTTGACTATTTTTATATTGATTTTATATTTGCCTTTAAAAATATTTTGGTGTTTAAACAAAATAATGAAAATTAATACATCATGATACAGTTATAGAAATGAGAAATTTTCAGCCAGGTTGTGGTGTCCTTCTTTAATCCCAGTACTCAGGATGTAGAGGCAGGTGAATCTCTGAGTTCAAGGCCAACCTGATCTACTAGTGAGTTCCAAGACACCCCTGGCTACACAGAGAAATTCAATAAACAAATCAAAGCAAGCAAACAAGAAAAACCACCACCACCACCACCAACAACAACAAAAATATCAAAAAGATTTTCATAAGACAGCTGAGAAAAGCTCTTAAGTTTTAGCTATCCAGTTAATTTTACTTTGTAGTCTTTGCTCGCAAAAGTGCTATTCTGATCTTTAAAAAAATGAATCAGTTTTAAGTGATTATGCTATGAATTTGACATTAAATTTATTGTCTCTTAATGTGATATTGTTATGAAAAACATCAATTATTGTAGGTGGAAATTGTAGTGTAGAACAGCTTTATTATGATAACTTTCAATACTGTGCTATTTTATCAATGTTGTATAACTTGTGATTAGTGCTTACACAAATGAGCAAATACTTGACTTCTCTTCACTCTGCAGACACCAGTCAACTCATTGATCCTCACCCTGCCATGGAAGTTTGTAGTGGTGATCCTTCTCCCAGTGTAAACACCAGTCAACTCACAGATCTTGTATGTGTGTCTTCAACCTGCAAAAACAGTGTGTACTGTTCCTAAGACACTGGTGTGTTGTTACATTACACATTTTGTGATGAAATTACAAAGCTACATTTACTCACAGTCTATATATCCTTTCCTGGGACTGCTATAAAAAAGAATTTACATTTATACACAAAAGACAAAATAAATATTAATGCTAATGTTTTTGTAACATTTTACTGAAGCGAATCATTTAAGTGATGTGTGCTTTGGGAGACAAGATACTCTCTAGCTCTCGCATTCTGCTAATTGATGCTTCGCTTTTTTGTTAAATTTGCATTTAATAATTTTCAAAGTACACCCATTTTACAGTAATTTTCACTTTACATTCAATAATACTTTTGAAAAATAATTGACACAAAACAATAAAAAGATATTTTTTATAATCTCATTTTCTTCACACTTAATGCAATTCTCAGAATTTTGATGGAACACTTGTGATCTTCACCTTCTCCTCAAAGATGCTACTGTGTCTTAGTCTGAAGCTAATTCAGTAATGTTTAATTCCTACCTGCTTATTTATGTAGCTATCATATAATTAACATTAAAATCAGTATTGACTTTTGAAATTTTGACCTTTGGCTTTTCTTCAATCACTGTTTCATTTAAGAAAATAGCTGCCATATTACCATCTATTTGATCATCTCCTATGTTTAAATAATAAATACTTTTGCAATGGACCTTAAATATTAATATCAAAAACACATTGAATAAATGGATAAAAAGTAAAAATTATTCACTGTGGCGAGAAGAGGAATCCCTGAGTGTGTGAAGTGTTGATAGTTAGCAAATATTCTAATAACAAAATTCTCTGTTGTCCAAAGAAATGCAAGGTCTACATGGAAAGCAGCTGATCAGCTGTGCGTAGCACTGTGCCTCCAGGATTAGGGGATCATTGGTTAGCAGCTGAAATAATTCTCTCATCTTCTCTCTCCCTTACTAGAGGTGCAAATGATCTCCACAAATTTTAAAACCAGTTCGTCCACCATGCAGTATGTTTTCCAAGTTTTATAAAATATCACAATTTTAAAAGAACCCCTTTAACAGAAATTAATGTCACATTCACTGCATTTTTTATAGTAAGATTGCATTTCAAAAGAGGAAACTGCCACATAACTTCAGTAGAGTGTGAAAGAAACAAAATCCTCTTAGCTCCATATCTCAAGCACCCAACCCAATGAGCTTCCTCTTCTTTCTTTATATTATGTGGCTAGAATCAGTGAAGTAATGAATAAGTAAATATATCATTATATATTTTCTCATTAGTAATATTGAAGATTGGGAGATCAGACACGGGACCTTGCACAAGCTAAGCCAGAGCTACACCAACAAACTGCACTCCCAGCCCTCATTTTCATTGCTAATTAGAGAGGTTACTCTAAAATTTATCTGCAAAGGCACTCGTGTTTTCATTCTTATTCCCTCGCCATATTTTCCTTTTATTTCCAGGATTGGGTTTTGCTCCTACAGCCAATTTCTAAATAGTTGTGAATCTTCAACAAATTCCATTGAAATCCTTCATGCACTTGGAAGATTAAGCACGGCCTGACTTGACCACGTGTCTAAGTGTCTGAATATACATGACATACGAGTTAATAAAATCCTGATGAGTGATATTTTGGAGCCTAAATATATTTAACATGATGGATGTCTGTAAACTTGCCTATGAATCAGACGGCAGCATAATCTTAATATTGGCAAAGGTGAAAAGAAAAGTTATGGTCCTATGCTAATACTGTGTATTTGACGACTCTTCTAGGAAATAACTATAGTAAGATTAATCTGAAGACTGCAGAAGCCAGTCCCTTATAATGAATGATTCCAAACATTAAAAAACTTTTCTTTTAATTGATAAATAAAATAGAAAACTCCTTCAAACATGAGTTAAAGGCATTTTTATCTCAAAGTTTTATGTGATAGAAAAATAAATAACTACCATAGAAATGTGGGAATTTGACATCTTTCGAAAGCTTGTAACTTATTCTGTATAGGATACACAATAAGTTTAAAAAGTGCATAACAATTTAAAACTTTTGAGCAGTATAAATATTTAATTTTTATATTGGAGGAAGCAGAACACAGAGATCTTCCTGATACTGATACCACAAAACAACACATATTACATGTTGATTATTTTCATGTATAAGATTATGCAAGTGGTTTGGGGAATAGTTAGGAAACAGGACATCAAGTTTGAAATTGGAAAGGCACACAATAATCTTGTTCACTTAGGTGCCAGAAGATCTAGAAATAGGCCATGCTAAAAGAGTGATGTTCATGCCTACTGGACAGCAGCTGAAAGCCCCCATGTTGAGGATGCAGTTGTCTGCAGCACTAGGGAATATGAGTAAGAATCCCAAGGTGTAGTTTCATTCTTTTTCTTCAAAAATCTATGAGATACTTACTCAATCTCAGGTAGTTCAGTCATCTGTTTTTTAAAGTTTTATTTCTGTTTGTGAAACCCCTTGCAGTGGAACAAGGATTTATCCCCGGTACATAAATTGGCTTTTTGGAGCTCATTCTCTAAGGGGGGGATATCTTGCTCAGCCTTGATGCAGGGAGGAGGGATTTGGTCCTGCCTCAACTCATATGCCCGGCTTAGGTGACACCTTGTGGGAGGCCTTATCCTCTCTGGGGAGTAGATGTGCAATGTGGGGAGCAGGAGGAGGGACGAGAGGGGGAACTGTGGTAGGTATGCAAAACTAATAAGAAAGAAAAATGTTTTATTGAAATTTTTCTTATTTATTTTTGTGTATATGTATGGGCACATGTAACCTGGAATTTAAAAGGTGAAGTGTAGGAGTTGTTTCTTTCTCCTAGTTGGGTTCTGGGGACTGAACTTGGGCCTCAGACTTGGTGACAGGTTACTTTCCCACTAAGCAATCTCACCAATCTTAGGTATAGTCTTAGCATGATAGATAGATAGATAGATAGATAGATAGATAGATAGATGATAGATAGACACATAGATAGATACATAGATACATAGACAGATAGAATTTTTAAAACTTTGAAAATAGAGTAAATTTGTACCTTTGGCCATGTAATTTCATTTCTCATGCTCTCCGTTATTTTTTGAGATTCTTTCTGTCACTTGATTTTCATTTCAAGCAGCCAAAATCAAAGCTACCTTGGAGCTCTAGTCTAAGCTTGGAGGCAGAAAAGAGCAATTTCATAGATACTACTAAATAATTACACATGCTAGCTAGCATCAGTTGGTTTCAAATATTTTTCTAAGAGACTTTGCCAATGTGTTTTTCAAACTAAATCGTTAGATTATACAAAGATATATTTAAGAATATGGACTTGTAGATGGAATTATTGGCCTGATTATTCAATAAGAAACAATTTTTAGAATTGATTGCATGTAATTTAGAAAGTGTTGGCAATATTTGAGTGACAAACGTATTATATAACATGCTTGTTATTTTCTATTTTCTATTCCCTTTCTTACTATTTTTTCTTCTGCTCCTTTTTCTTTCTCTTTATTTTGAGACAGGATTTGTTTTGTTACTTTGGCTGGCCTTGAAAGTCGGAAAGGGGATTGCCTTGTAGCTGTAGTTGGAGGCAATTGTGAGCAGCCTACTGAAGGTGCTGACCCACCAAAGTAGGGGCCTCTGCAAGATGCACTCTTAACAGCCAAGCCACTTTTTGCCCATTTCAGTTGTTTAAAATAGTGTTTTTATAATTCATGGTAATTAGTAATTATCATTGATGTCTTTTTCTCAAAATTGGGAAAAACATCAAGATGTCAGTCATTATATTATAAATAAGAATATAAAAATAAGATATTCATTTTTTATCAAGGGTATTTTGGACACATAACTTTAATGAATATACTAAAATATACTTCAATATTTTGTGACTAAATATTCCAGTATGATCATTGTTTACTTAAACAACAGCCTAAATCACTGGTTAGTGTTTAGAACTGAACTGAAACTTGTAGGTACTGAATGCGACGGAGGCTACACGTGAGCCATGGATACGCCGCTAAGGCGCAGCCGGCGGCTTGAAGGTTTGAAACCTGTGTCCGGAAAGACCCTTCCTGATCCCGCAGTTTCCCGGGCGAGATGGGCCCTTGTAGAGTTCGAGTCGAACCCAGAAGAAACCAGCGAGCCGAAGTCTGAGAGAGTGCAGCCACTGGGCCTTGCGTCTCCCCAACCTCAGCCGGAGACAAGCCCCGGATCACCCTGTCCGAAACAGGATACAGGCTTCGGGTCGCCCCAAAGGCAGTCAGAGCCTGACTCCGGATCCCTCCAATCTCAGCAAGATGTGGGCCTGGAGTCACCTTCAGGACAGAGAGAATCGAGTCCGGAAACCCCCCAACAGGAGGAGCCATCCAAATTCTCTGCCACAGTGGGAGAACTGGACTCAGAGGTGGTCCACGCTAAGGAAGAGTTGGTTCCAGGATCCCCAGAGCCTTGCCCGGGCCAGCAAGCACCGGGTCCCGAGCCCTCGCAGCCAGTACAAGAGCTGACATCCCAGGCACCCAGCTCCTCAGAGCAACAGCAGGAACCAAGCAGGCTACCTCCGGCTGGCAAGACGGTGGCAGGAGGCCACGATATAAAGAAGCGACTTATATCTTCTCCCCAGGCCCTGGCGCCCAAGAAATTGAAGGAGAAAGAGGAGCTTCCTGTTATCCCGAAGGGGAAGCCCAAATCCGGGCGTGTGTGGAAAGACCGCTCCAAGAAGAGGTTCTCCCAGATGGTTCAGGACAAGCCCCTGCGTACCTCCTGGCAGCGGAAAAATGAAGGAACGACAGGAGAGGAAGCTGACCAAGGACTTCGCCCGGCACCTAGAGGAGGAGAAACAGAGGCGCCGGCAGGAGAAGAAGGCACGCCGGGCAGAGAACCTGAAACGCCGCCTAGAGAATGAGCGGAAGGCTGAGATTGTCCAAGTGATCCGAAACCCCGCCAAAATCAAGAAGGCGAAGAAGAAGCAGCTGCGCTCCATTGAAAAGAGAGACACCCTGGCCTTGCTCCAGAAGGAACCACCCCAGCGGCCTGTGGCCAAGGTCTGAGCTCAGGACAGCACGGAGGCCTCCACAAGCCAAGAGCCACAACTAGCCACCTCTCAGGCCACTGTCAGACATCTCTCCTGGGGCCAGCACACCAACTCTGTCGCATTAAGACAGGGAGTGAAGACCAGAGGGAACCCAGGACCTCACAGGGTCTCAGGAGAGATTTAACTCTCTCCAACTCCTTTTAGGTCTTTTCCAAAGTGCCTTAAGATCTTGAACTGTTGCTAGGGTGGTGGCACATGTCTTAAATCCCAGCACTTGGGAAGCAGAGACAGGCAGATCTCAGAGTTTGAGACCAACCTGGTCTACAGAATGAGTTCCAGGACAGCCAGGCTAGAGAAGCCCTGTCTCAAACAATAACAACAAAAGATCTTGAACTGTGACTTGTTCCCCAGTGAGCTGGTAACTAACTCCCACCTCGGGGTCCTGAGTTTAGCCCTCACCTGGAGGCCTGATGTCAGATGTCAACTCCTCCATTTTCTCAAAGGCCAACAACCTTGATCACTTGTGACTTCTGCTCATCTGTCCCCTCTGGTGACTGAAGCCTGCCCCTTCCTGTAAATGGGGAGGTTGCAGGGAACTGGGTTCCTCTCTAGGACCCCTTTCCTACATTGGACTGTAGAAACCTTAGGACTTGAGCCGTGCCCACCTGGGCTTCCACAGAAGTGTTTATTAATGTCTGCACAAGTACAATCTGGGCTTCCAGAAAGACAAGTCCCTGCCCCATTGGGTTTTCATTCTCCTAATAAACAATGGAAATGCAAAAAAAAAAAAAAAAAGAAAAAAAAAGAAAGAAACTTGTATAAATTCGCAAGGGAGAAATAGAATTCTTTTTTACCTTTGTTACCTGTTTATTATGATTTTATCTTTCTCTTGAGAGGTGTGAAATTTTAATGAGTCTTTATTTGCCTATTTAGAGGCTCAATAATTTTTGGCATATGGAAATTATCCCATAAATTGTTGAGGATATAACCCTGATATAATGTAGACTCATTATTTTATCTTTTTCCACAGTATCTCCAATATTCAAAATTATAAAACTATGCTTTTATGATCTTCTTAATGAACAGAACTCAAGGTCAGTCATTTCAGAATGTGCCTAGAGAAACAACTCTTTCCACATGACCTTGTTTCAATGAGATTACATTTCGATTCCACAAAAAAAAAAAAAAAAAGGACTAAGAGTTCCTACATGAAGATTTAAGGGTCCAGTGTAATAGACCTTGATTTTATTTATTTTGAAGAGTACCATGCTGTTTTCTCTTGCAATTCTCTGCAAAATATTTTTCATGTGGTTGTGCTGTTTCAAAAATGTATGAAAAACTATATATAAAGGAAACCAAAAGAAAATTACAGATTTCATTTAAAAACACTAAGAAAATAAAAACAGAATGTATAGGGTTTTTCTAAGTGTAAAAGACCTTATTAGTCTGGGGTATTTGTCATCCTCCAACTACATATGAAAAATTTCAAAACACATTTGCACTGGGAAACCAAGTCTTCACTCCTCAGAGATGCTGACGTGGTGCTATTTGTCCTTAGATTATTTTTGCTTCTGTCAGCTGAGAACAAGCATTTCCATGCTATTTGCATTTTCAATCCTTTCTTAATAATTAGCAATTCTGTTTCACAGTCAGCACTTCAACCTATTTCACAGCACCAACATTAATTTACAGCATAGCTTGGACTATTATTCAGGAGGAAACATTATTGGAAACTCCACTTAGCAAGGAGCTTCTTTTAAGAGTCATTTTAGCAAAACAGAAAAATCAAAAATTACTGAAATGTGTTTTTAAAAATCCATTTTTACTAAAATATTGATGTCATCATTCAGAAGTATATAATCTTGTTAAGCCTAAATGGAATTATCTCGGGGCTACATTAATTGTACTTTCCTGATAAAGAATAAGAATTCCTTTCAAAGGTTTGTGTGTGTTTATTTTATGTGTATGACCATCGTATGTATGTCTGTGCCTGCATTTATATGTATGTATTTTATGGTCAATGGCATGAACTCATTTTGTGGCAGGGAATCTACTCAGTGACATGGTTTCCCTAACACAAGTCTAGATGGCTTGAGTCACTGAGGGAGTCTTCTCTGACTTTGCTGACTGACAGTACATTTCAGCTAAGTGAGCATTTACTTCACATTTATATGGTCTGTTGTTCTACATACTACTCCTTAAAAAAAAGCCAGTAGACAGTGTGAGTACAGTGTTTCAATGTGGACTTATCAAATACTTTAAGGATCATAATATACGTATACACATGTACCCATGTGGCTCTTATTTCATCCTAACTCAGTGTTGTTAGGTAAGACACAGAGTAGCATGTGGAAACAGTTTGGCTGTCAAAAATGGAGAAATGCTACTGACATTTAGTGTCCTGAGTGGAGAAAGACCACACATGCTGCCATACATATATTACAAGACACAGAAGAGCCTCCACCAGGAAACAAAACTACAACAACAATAAACTTTAGTTAGGCGATGGCTGGAACCCCTCAAGCTGCATTTTGGAACACCTTTGTTCTTTGTTGCCTCATGAATACAACTTGATCATCTAGGCTTTTGTGCTTTTAATTTTTAAGTACAACACTTTCTACTCAGCTTGAGAAGCCCAAACCTCACTTGGATTTCTTGGATTTGGGAAGTTATTGCTTATTCTGAGTTTTTTTTTTCTTATTTTCAGATCTAAGTAAATGTTGTACTGGACAAAGTAAAATAACCAGAGAAAACTTTTATTCAAAACTGGTACTATCTAGATGCCTGAACCCCCTTTCTCTTTTACAGAAAATGGGGCATGAAGTCCTTCTGTGCTTTAATGTGCTGGTGAAATTACAGTGGAAGATACTTTGGAGTGCAGTCTAGGGGGAGAATAGATAGACAGGTGGATAAGTGAGATGTGGAGCGAGTTGGCTCTGATTTTGTTAAACTTTTCTCTCTGAAATGGACATTTGTTTCTCCCACAGAAGGGGATCCCAATTTTCTTCACAGAGCTAAGGGACAGGGATGTTTTTCCCTTGGAGCTTATCGTTTAAGGAGATGGATTCAAATTCTTCTAAAAGACATTTTCTGGGTTTAAAGATGTCTAGAGGCTGAGGAAATGATTTACATATATTTTAAAGGCATAGAACAATTATTCTTAATAGCCAGTGTCTTTCCTAATGTAAAACTCCAAAACAGAGCAGTTGATGACGTACAATGAGGAAGAAACCTACCTATCTCTAGCTTAGTCAAGCTGATATGAACAAAGGCTCTTCTTGCTCTCTCATTACAAATCTACTTACTCTTGTTCACTATTATGCAATAAACTCTAGAATGAATCTTCTTTTTAAAGTCAAGAATCTCAGCAGTTGATCTCGTTTGGTGGTCAATAAGTAGAGGACACCACACAGGTATCGAATAAACTCAATTAATTCAATTAGTGATTTATCCATTATAGCACTAGTGATTTGATTGGAATAGACAAGGTTTATTTTATGCTAAGCCTTTATGTGTTTGGTTTCCAGAATATCCAGTTTCTCACTTTTGTCTTTCACTTTGCTTGAGTGCGGGGAGGGAAGGTAATGAACACATTTGTCTACTCTCCCCACCAATGATACATTCTGTACTGCTGGTCTTTTCTACAGCGATGGATGTGGAGTATCATAGTTAAATAAGGCAAATACATTCCTTAAGCCCAACCATACTATAATCCTTTAAGTCTTGTTACATACAGCAAAATTCTTGTACTACAACACTGACCAAATGACTTAAGAATCTCTAGCAGTGAAGTTCAGGTTTACATATTTGACTCTAGCTGGTTGGTATAGATTTTATGTCCTCATTTGCAGTCCTGATTATTATATTGAGTTCCAATGCCAATTGTAGGTTGATACATGTGAAACCCTTTAGCCTCCTCATAGCTCAGAAATTTTGTCTGTATGTTATCATAATATGAATCTACAAAATGTGTAAGGTATATCTGAGTATTAAATAAGTTAGGACATGTCAGCTGCTTACACTGGAGACTGGCCTTGGATGGCAATAAGACCTGTAAACATCCTTTACGTGCATTATCATTAAAAGCTTGTCTAATGGCACAGAATATAATGGGATTTACTAAAATGTGTCATCTCACCACTAAATTCTGTATACATTTTTTTTTTTATTTTTTGAGACAGGGTTTCTGTAGCTTTGGAGCCTGTCCTGGAACTAGCTCTTGTAGACCAGGCTGGCCTCAAACTCTGTCTCCCAAGTGTTGGGATTAAAGGTGTACGCCACCAGTGCCCACCTACGAATTTATAGTTTTTTTATATTATATAGCGTACACTCGGAGAAAAATTTCTAAAAGTTTCCAAATTCAGCAGATCCAGTTTGTTGGCCTCTCTCTGGCCTACTGACTGTTGTATTTGGGTACTCAGAGGTAGTTTAGAGGAATGTCACCCCTGTTCCAGCCATGTCAGAACACCATTAAAATGAGACATGGTGAACAATGCCTTGGGAGCTTTGAGGGAGGCTCAAAGCTTCCTGACTCATGTAACTATGGGATGATTTAGGAAATTTGAAGAACTATAGGAATGTTTATGAACAAAAGGATAACGTTGTGGCAGAGAGATGGTTCAGGATTTCAGAGCACTTGCTCTTCCCAAGGCTCTGTCTTCAGTTCCCAGCACCCACATGGCAGTTCACAATCATTTCTAATGCTCTTCCAGGATATCCAAGGCACTAGGCATGCATAATATATACATACATGCATGAGAACAAAGCACTCACTGCACATAATATGTACAGCTAAAACAAAAAAACATTAATATGTGTTTCAAAATATTTTGCATCATCTATCTTTTCTAAAACTGAGGGTTCATATAGAAACTAATAAATACTGTATTGATAAATAATTCTTACTATTTATCACTGAAAGTTGTTAATACAGATTCAGAGAGCATTATCCCATTTTAAAAATAATAGTTTCAATATTCATATATTTTAACCTATTATATATATTATTATATATGTAATGGAATGTGATCATAGGAGAAACAGTAATCTTTACCTCACACTAAGAATGCTGGGTCGCAAGAGAGACATTTATTTTTGATATTATAGACACAAGGTATTAGGCTCAACAAAAGGACATAGAACAGCATCTATTTAATATTGGGGCTCGGGATTGCCCCTCTGTTGATATGTGGGCTCAGTTATGTACCAGGCCGCTGGATGTTTCAGCTTTTGTGTGACCGTAGAGCTCTTAGACGAGCAGGCACCAGCTC